GGGAGTAGTGAGCTCTCTCTCTCTGAACACTGTAGGGAGGAATGAGGTCTCTCTGCACACTGTGGGGAGGGGTGAGCTCTCTTTCTGAACACTATGGGGAGGAGTGAGCTCTCTCTCTCTGCACACTGTAGGGAGGAGTGAGGTCTCTCTCTCTGCACACTGTGGGGAGGAGTGAGGTCTCTCTCTCTGCACACTGTGGGGAGGAGTGAGGTCTCTCTCTCTGCACAGTGTGGGGAGGAGTGAGCTCTCTCTCTGAACACTATGGGGAGGAGTTAGGTCTCTCTCTGCACACTATGGGGAGGAGTGAACCTCCTCTCTGCACACTGTGGGGAGAAGTGAGCTCTCTGCACACTTTAGGAAAGAATGAGCCCTCTGTTGCACACTGTTGACCCTGGGAACTGGATGCATCTTTTTTGAAGGAAAAGTTACAAAGTATTCCTAAAATATAATAAAAAATATATATAAAGTAAAATTCTAGCATATAATTCCACACCCAAGAATCATTTACAGATTTAAAACAAGTAAGCTATTTAACTATTATATAAAAGTAGTCAAAGTGTATTAGTGACCAAAGTTTGTAAAAATATAATAAGCACCATTACATGGTAAACTGATTAAATGGGCAGAGCGACACTGCCATAGAGACAATGAAGTGTGTGTTTGTTGACTGGGATGAGAAGAGGCCCATAGATGGGTGATTTACACTGAATAAATACCATAAACATATATTGCTTTAATTTAAAAAACGAACTATTTCTTAAAACTTTTTACTGGCTGGAGAGATGACTCTGTGCTTAAGAGCGCTTGTGGTTCTTTCAGAAGAACAGAGTTCAGTCCCAGCACCCACATCAGACTAAAGACCTGAAACTCCAGCTCCAGGGAATCCAGGCGCTCTTCTGTTTTCATTGAGTATGCGCGCGCGCGCGCGCGCGCACACACACACACACACACACACACACACACACACACTAAGTAAATACATGCATACATAAATACACAAAACTTAGAAAATCTCCATGACCTAGGAAAGTGGTCAGAGGAGTAGGGATCACTGTCTAAAAAGGAATCTAAAAAGTATTCTCCAAAGACTCTGGAAAGATTCAAACCAAAGGAAGAATTGAAGGCGCTGTTCCAAATTGGGAAGTAGCAATCGATAAGAAATCAGAAGCATCTGAAATACTGTAACTACGTTTGTTCCCTTCATACAGAAAATGCCTTAGGGTTTCCATGTACGAAGTCATTTTTGTTATTACCGATTGAGGCCAAAAGCCAATGACTGTGATGGTCTGCGTCAAAATGCCTAAGCTTTTGTGACTGCCATGCCCTGGGGGTTCCGTGTCTCACCAGCCGCTTCCAGTTCCTTGAGCAGCTGCCTACTGCAACCAACAGGGAGAACACACCACCTCTGTCCAGCCTGCGAAGCCTTCTTGCTTGTTTGCATACCCACCCAGAAGAACTGAAGTAATGAAGGGGCTTCACGCCCGACCTTACTTTTTTTACTTCATATTTAATGGCAAGTTTTAATCGGCTGAGATTTGGACGGCCGAGGTCACCAGGCTGGCGAGTCTCTGCATCCCCGTTCAGGATGGCCTCCACTTCTTCCGTGTTTCTGCAGAGATCCAGGAGACCAACCACGAAATCTTTGCACTGCATGGACAGCTTCCTATAGTCATTCTAGGGAAGACAGACACAGTTAAAATAAGAAAGAATTGACTCGTTTTGCCACATTTGGCAGAATTTTTCAGATAATTAAGGGATTGTACATTTCAAGAGAAAAAAAAATCAACGTTTAGATTAGCTAAACCTGATTTGTTTCGGCTTTGTTTTGCTTTAAAAGAGGGTCTCACACTGTAACCCAGGCGGTATGAAAGTTACTGATGTCAAATTTACAGAGGTTCTCCCCCATTAGTTTCCCACTGCAGTTAGGATGAGACTCCATGACCAGTCCAGTCTCACTGCATCTTATTTTAGATCCATTTCGATTCTGCCCCCGGAGATACTTTATCACCTTGAAGATTTTTCTCAAGACTCCAAGATAATCATATTTGCTCAAAGAATTACTGAAGTTGTTTTGAACAATTTCGTTGTGCCGAATTCACCAACCAACCTGGGAGAAATAAAACCTAAGCAGCCTTCTCCACGGCATAACTACCATGCTTTGTATAGATGCTGTCCTGTGTGGTATAATTTCACCATTAAGTTCTAAAATACATACTTGACAGAACATTAGGAAACTGTGTGGTGTGTTGATGCTCCTGGGACTCGGAGCATCTGGGAAGACCCCATGAAAAGCAAGCACTGAGCTATTACCTGTACCTTACTTTTTCCTTTTCTTTCTTTTAAGACTGATTCTCAAGTACCTCAATTTGGCCTTAAACCCCTGACCCTTTTGTCTCCAGCCCTCAGGTGCTGGGAATATAGATGTGTTCCACAAGATCTGGCTCTTCAATTGTCTTTTCAATGAATTGTTATTTCTTACATTATGAATCCAGCACGGGGTCAAAATATAAGATCTATGTATAGATTCTGAAAACTGAGATTCTTCCGTGTGTGTGTGTGTGTGTGTGTGTGTGTGTGTGTGTGTGTGTGTGTGTCGGGGTTGGGAGGTACCTCTCATCCCAGCACTTGGGAGGCAGTAGCAAAGGAGTGGTGGGTTCCAGGCAGTGTAGGCTACGCAGTGAGGCAGCGTAAAAACAAGCCATGTTGAATGGAGGAGCTTTTACTGCGCTATTGTATCATCCAATGCCGGAAGGAGCTAGAGTGCTGGTCATGTGTGAATGACCATAAACTGCCACTGTCCTTCTATATGGCATCTCCTCATGTCTTCTCTGGCCTCTTCCTAAGCTTCCTCCCTCCATATTTTCTTACCCTGAAATAAGGTTATAAACATATCACTAAATGTTAACCCAGAAAGCCTGTTGTGGTGATTTGAATAAAAATGGTCCCCATAGGCTCATAGGAAGTGGCACTGTTCGGAGGTGTGACCTTGGTGGAGTAGGTATGGCCCTGTTGGAGGAAGTCTGCCACAGGGAGTGGGCTTTGCATTTTCAGATTCTCAAGCCAGGCCCAGTATCACTCTCTCTTCCTGCTGCCTGTGGATCCAGATGTAACACTCCTGGCTCCTTCTCCAGCGGCACGTCTGCCTGACTCCACCATGCTTACCACAACAACAACAATGGACCAGACCTCTGAGCTGTAATTCAGCTCCAATTAGATGTTTCCTTATAAGTCATGGTCATGGTGTCTTTTCACAGCAATAGAATCCCTAATTAAGACCCCTGTTATCAAAACCTGCTGTGTAGCAGGTAAATATAATCTCATTTGATTGTCTTACAATTTGCTGAAAGTAAATACTGTGTACAAAATAATTCACTAAATAACCGTTGGCACTCGACCTTGATGTAAATTTGTTTGGCCTCAAACTCATTCATTGCCTTTGAGGACACTACATCCATCATCTTTCCTCACAAATGCTTTCTTACTTTGAACTTCGAAATGACAGGTAAACAGGGCAGATGCCATTCCCATATACATCATGGAAAAAAAAAAAAAAAAAAACAACCTGTTTCCCAGTTACACAGTCATCTTACCAGCAACGCAAAGTTAATCAATTCCTCCACCCTGAAATTCTCATGTGCTGTCAGCTGAAAGGTTCCTCAGACAGTCACAAGGGGGAAACACTGGGGAAAACTTGTGGTTCTGGGTGCCAGTAGACAAGTTTGTATTTTAACAACACTGCTCTGGAGAACAGCTTCATAAGTGATGGATGCCAAACAGCTCCATGTGTGCCAAGTGACCTCCCAGTGACTGTGAAATTGGCTGTCCTTGATCAGCTTCAGCCTGGAGACTCCATAAAAACAGAGTGAGAGGGAAAACATCCCGCACCCCAGGACCATGCTTGATGACATCCTGCACCCCAGGACCATGCTGGATGCCATCCCACACTCCAGCACCATGCTGGATGCCATCCCACACTCCAGCACCATGCTGGATGCCATCCCACACCCCAGGACCATGCTGGATGCCATCCCACACCCCAAGACCATGATGGATGTCATGGTCTCACTCAGCTAGGAAACTTAAAGGGGAAATGCACCTAAAGATCAGGATTAGGGCAGAGTATTATTCTCCAGATAATGAAAGGTGCCCAGCTATGCTATGGGATCAAGTTTCAGTCTGGGCCTCCCCTGGTCTTCACAATAACAGTCACTAAAAGACACACAGCTCACATCTCTGCCATAGCTGATGTGAGAAGGACAAAAGAGAAGTGGACACTACCCTATGGGAAATGCAAAAGTAAATTACATACGACCTCAAACAAGAATCAAGGAAAGACACTTCCCAAGATGCTACTAACTGTCCTGTTGTGTTCAGCCTCAGTAGTAGCCCCCGTCTCACTTAGTGTCTCTTTTGAAGACTGGCATTTATTCTTTTGGTCCCACTGCGGCTATGGAGTTGAAGGGACAAGGAAGGAGACAGGCACACGCTAGATTTAGTGTAACGGACCCCGTGATGCAGATTGTCCTGACAAAGCTCTTTCTCTGTGAACGATCAGGGGCCTAAAGTCTGTTGAGAGGAGACTTTCCCTCCTCGTCCACTGCACACTTGAGAAGGAACGCAGATGGAAACCCCTTGCCTTGCACGCGAATGAGACACAGGCCGAATTTTGCTGCACGTTTGTTTACACTTCTGTCTCTCTTCAACAGACTCTCATATTTCCCCATTTTTATTTAATTAAAATATAATTATGTAATTTTCTCACCCTCTCCTTTTTCCTACCTTTCTATTTACCCTTCACACTCCCACATTCATGGAGCATTAACTGTTGTTACATACACTAAATGAATAAAGACGTTAACTCAGTCTGGTGGATCAGTTCTGTGCTGCTTGCATGGATGTTTCTAGGACTAAAGGATTTTTACTGCATAATCAACTAAGGGCGCTCATCCCCGAGTCCTCTCTGCACAGCTGTGAATCTGCGAGCTGCTTTGGGCAGAATGGCCAGCTCCCCACGTTGATTCTATGAATCCATGAGTGTGACAGGTTTCATTTTCTAGTGTTTTCCTCAATCTCTTTCTTCAGATAGTCTTCTCTTTGGTGGTCTTTCGCCTCCTTGATTAGGCGTGTTTCTAGAAATGTGTTCAGAGACTATTGTGAATGCGGTGTGTGCAGGACCTACTTCTCAGCATGTTTTGTATCGCGGTACATAGAAAGGCTACCTGTTTTTTGTGAGTTGATTTGAGTATCTTTCCAGCAAGCACTGTGTCTTACTTCTTTTCTGAGTCTACACAAGCAAGGCATACCATACGCAACCAGCAAGCCTTGCTGGGGAATGCAAAGAAAGAAAAAGAAGGATTTAAAGTATAGCTGTATCTGAATTCCTGCTACTGCTTAATAGACATGTGAGGTAGGATACGGTTCCTCATTGTCTGGTCCCCTATAGACACGTGAGGTAGGATACGGTTCCTCATTGTCTGGTCTCCTATAGACACGTGAGGTAGGATACGGTTCCTCATTGTCTGGTCTCCTATAGACATATGAGGTAGGATACAGTTCCTCATTGTCTGGTCTCCTATAGACATATGAGGTAGGATACGGTTCCTCATTGTCTGGTCCCCTATAGACATGTGAAGTAGGAGATGGTACTGCAGTGTGTGGTCTAGTAATTGCTGTTGTGTCATGAAGTTAGAATAGGATTCCCTTAAAATAATTCATAAATATCAAAAAGAGTATATTTTCTCCTTCCTCTTTGGTCAGGACATCAGCTCTATGCTCCTGGTTTTGTGACTCTGCCTTGCAGGCTATATGTCAAGTAAGTGACACCCTTGTTCCCCTATAAGGTCTAATAATAGCCACATGACCTTAATACTAACAAATACTACTTTTCAACCAAGCCAGTTTCTTGGAGGATACTTATCTTTCAAGCAGGCAAATGGCCTAAAATTTTTAACCATTATACAGCAGAACATAGCCATGATTTAAAAATAGACGTGATGATAGTTTCTCTGCCGTTCTCTTTCCTCCTTCTGCAGCAGAGGCATCTTGGGAGCCATGTGTATCTCAGTGCACAGGCATCTGGGGGGCCATGTGCATGTCAGTGCACAGACCTCAAGGGAGGATAATGGAGCTGGCAAAGCCACAGAAACCCTTTCTCTCCAGAATTACAGGTTGCAGACAGGGCTTGCTGCCTAAAGGAGATGAATGGGGAACCGGGGTGCATGAAGGGAGTCATTGCATTACTACAGGCAACCTAAGAGGTAGGGGGTTCAGAACAGAATTTATAAACATAGCCCACAGAAACATACAGAGACACCAAAAGTAAATTGGGATGCCAGGGACATGTATCTGTTGACAAGGCCCTCCTGTCCTGATTTCTCCCTTTGAACTCTGACTCCTGATTTGAGCTTTGACTTCAGCCAGGAAAATTCACTCTTCTACAGTATTAAAACAAAAATACTGGACTGATGTGGGATTCCCCTCTGTATGCTGTGAATACCATTGGTTAAAAAAGAAACCACTTTGAGCCTATTGCAGTGTATAATAGGACAAAACAGGAATTCCAAGCAGATAGAGGAGGAGAGAGTAGGCAGGGTCAAAGAGACACCCTGTAGCCTCCAGAGGAAAAAGACACCCGCCCACCCACCAGAACCTTCTTTGTAAACCACAAGCCTCCTGGTAAAACATAAAATAATAGAAATGGGTTAATTTAAGATATAAGAATTAGCTAGCAAGATGCCTAAGTGATTGGCCAAGCATTGTTGTAATTAATATAGTTTCTGTGTAATTATTTCGGGTCTGGGTGGCCAGAAACAAACAAGTGGCCTCCTCTCACACTGGATTTCTGTTTGTGGTTTTTGTTTGTTTGTTTGCTTGCTTGCTTGCTTGTTTACTAATTTTGTGTCTACCGTCAAGTCTTAACTCTGACTTTAAGCTTCCAATAGTCAAGATCTCACATTATTCTCTGAGGCTTATTTTCGTAAGATATTTCATTCCTTTTGAAAATAATGTCATATGTGCTAAGTAATAAGGGATCTTCCTTTAATGGTTAGCCTATTTCTAAACCCTGAGTGGTGTTCTGTGTCTCCCCACATTCCACCACCTGCTAAAGAGGAAGCTCCGTGGTAGAGATGCATGTGGACTAGCACTAAAATTTATCAGTTCACATGTGTGCTCAAATGTACCAGTGAGAATCAGAGTCTTTTTAGTGTACTTCCCCCCTTCATTTTCCACCCTTGCCAAGGAATACACCTTTCTTGAGAGGGAGGCCAACTACAGTGAGGTACATGAAGTATTAACAAGGACCACTGAACACAATCAGACTGGATGCCCCACAGAGGAAGGACAGCAGCGTGTGTGTGCTCTTTGGCTGGGAATCAGGGCTTCCATCCTCTCCAGATGTGGCAGTGACCACGCAGACAATGGCTGGATCTGATACCACATCTTTCCCCAGCCATTCTGGTAATAGTCTGCTTCAAGTTTGACATGCCTGCTTCACTCACGTGCACAAGACTATTCTGCTTCTTTTCTCTCATTCAGTCTTTTAACATCCCATTGATTCTTCCATGCATGGAAGTGTCACCTTCCATGACAGTTGGCTGAAGCCTAGTAAGAATTTCCTTAACTTCTATAGCACAATGGTCAAAGCTCAACCTTGCAGTCATACTTTATTTTATGTTGTGTTTATTCACATATCTACTGCCTCTCAGCCTGTGACTTGTTTATCTTTCTGACCCAGTGCACACACAGACACAATATGTTTTAAGAGAAACAAGCAGAAAATTAGAGGAAAGCTGTATTCTGATCCCAGCTCTGCCATTTGCTAGTTTTTGAATTCAAGTCCTACTAAACCTTCCTATTCCTTCAGTTCTCAGATAAAACAGAAAAAAATATCTACTCAGGGCTGTAATAAATACAAAATGTCTCATAGAAAGCAGATCATTAGAGCAACAATTATAATAAACTTGTTGAATGAAACATAAATTAGGTATTGGGAAAAACTCAATCAATAAGTCCCTGCTTCACAAGAATTAGGACCTTAAGAATTCCACAACATGTTGTTTAAAAAAAAACTGTACACATGGACACATGTCTGTAACCCCAGCAGTACCTTAGGCAGGTGGATTTCTGGAGTGCAGACAGGTGGAATCACTAAGTTCCAGGTTCAGGGAGAGATTTTGTCTTACAAAATAAGGTAGAGATGATGAAGGAAGACACCCAATGTCAACTGTTGGCCTCCACACACATATACACATGTGGACATGCACACATTTGCACAAGCTCACATGAACACATACCCACACATGCACGCACACACACGCACACATGCATGCATGCACACACACATGCACGTGCACACACACACACGCACATACACATACCCATGTGCACACACACATACACATACCCATGCACGCACACACATACACATGCACACACACGCACATGCACACAAACCTGCACACACACCACATCTCCATAAAATCCTCAAATGTACAGTGGTTAGCACATCACAGGAACATGGAAACATGCCTTGACTTTGACCTAGCCAACATCATACTTTCTCTCACTCTGAGTCTTCCAAATTTTGGTCCATTCTTTCATACATAGCTGAAATGCCAGCACCTGCAGAACTTTGCCAAACTCTGGCAGGAATTGGATACATCTTGCACTAATACTGTGCAGCTCGCTGCTTATAGATCTAACTTAGCAGTTAAACTTGGTGATGGTGCTGCTATCGACGACCTACCTTGAATTCTTTCTCTATGTTGGCAAGCACGGCCAGCTCATTGCTGAGTTCTAAAGCTGTCATGACTGGGTCCTCACTGGACAACGACAGGTACGCTGGGCTTGCCAGGCCTTTGTAGGCATTAATCCTGGATCTGGAATGACTGAATGAGTCATGCTTCTGTTTCTGGCTGCATTCTGTACACTTGCAGAAGTAATCATGAGGCCGTTCAATCCGAGCACCCTTTCTCAGAAGCGTGTGCACAATTTCATATTCCTGGCAGTGGGCAGCCAGAATGATTGGTGTCACATCATGGGAGAACCGAGTCCCATCTTCATCATAGGCATAAAAGTCATCTTGCTGGAGTTCAGACTGGCTGGGGCTTGTGGCTAACCTCTTGCCTTCAGCAAAAGCTGGGTGGTTGAGGATTGCCTCCACAATGCGCACATAACCTTTACTGATAGCTAAGAGTAAAGCGTCCCCAACGCGAGACAAGTTTTCCTTCTTGAGCAACAGCTCTGTAATTTCCAGGTGCTCATTGGCCACTGCCAACTGCAGGGCATTCTGGCCCATGTAGTCCACACAGTTGACGTTGAGGGATAGGCACTCCTCCAGCATCTTCCGCACCACTGGGATGTTGCCATATTCGGCTGCATCTAGAAAGCGTTCCTCCTCAATAGACAGGCTTGTCGAGTGATCATTAAACATGTACGCTGGTCCTCTATTAGCCAACCTTCTTCCCTTCTCACGAAGAACTGTCTGCCGCCGGTGAGTCAGTCTGTTTTCATTACCCCGGCTGGAATAAGGCAGAAAAACCATCAATAAATCATATTAAGACCATTTTCTTGTGCCAAATGACCTGTCATTCACCTAATGCAATCCTCAAGTATATTAGATGTTGCCTCGGCATCTCTAGACCTACTAGCTGATAAGATGAACATGAATTTGTTTGTTAATGAACTCTAAGAACCTCTTATTTAAGGAAGATAAGTACTTCATAGAGCTTCACTGTCCAATCCAAGGTAGAGACTGTGGCGAGTGCAATCATTTTTCTTGTGTCATTCATTTAGAGATATTAATGAGAATCTCTGAACTGCATATAGTAAACAGTCGGAAAAGGCTATTGGTCACTGTGATGGTAAATTTTAAATGTCAGCTTATCACAACCTAAGTCACCTAAAAAGAGAGTCTTAAGGAGGGATTGTTTAGATTCACTTGGCCTGTGTCATGACTGGGGATTTTCTTGTATATAAGGCAGTAGATCTGTGTGGTTGATTGCGGGGGGGGGGGGGATTATCATCTCAAAACAGATCTTGTTTCTATGAAAAAAATATTCACAGGCAGTAGACGTTAGCCCAAGCAGGATTTTCTCTGGTGTGGGTGTGGGGAATGGGGAACACTTACTGTGAGTACAAACAGGTGCAGTCACTATGAAAAGAGTGTGGTTGTTCCTCAAAAATCTAGAAATAGATCTGCCATGTGATCCAGCTGCACCACTCCTTGACCCATTCCCCAAAGGACTTTCCAAAGAGATACTTGCTCACCCATGTGACTGCTGCTAAACTCAGTGGTCAGAGTGGAAACAGCCTAGATGTCCATCAAATGATGAATGGCTCAAGGATTGTTATGGAAGTGGAGTCAGAATGATTGGAGAACCAAAGGAACAAGGCATGAGTTGTGAGATTGTGTCTCCTAGATATGTCTCCCCATGAGGTCTCATCAACATGGCTGCCTAAACAAGACCTGACAAGGTCAACACACAGGCATGCTAACATGGGAGTGGGAAGCTCCTGTGTGAAGCCTCAACTCTGGACAAAGACCAGGAGAATGCTGAGAGCAGGAAAAATGCTCCTCCGAGTGGAAAAGATTTCTCCTGTAGTGGTTCTCCAATAATGTGTTGGCTTGAAGAAAAATGTCCCATAGGGTCATATATTTGCATGATCGGTGCCCAGTTGATAAATTGTTTGGGTAGGATTAGGGGGTATGGCTATGTTGGAGTAGGTGTGTCCTTACTAAATGAAGTATGTCACTGGGAGTGAGTTTTGAGGTTTTAAAAGTTCCTGCCACTCCCAGTGTCTTCTTCTCTCTCTCTCTCTCTCTCTCTCTCTCTCTCTCTCTCTCTCTCTGACAAGGATGTAACTCAGCTACTTCTCCAGCACCTTGCCTTCCTGCTTATGATGAACTAAACCTCTGAAGCTGTAAGCAAACCCCCAGTTAAATGCTTTCTTTTATAAGAGTTGCCTTCATCATGGTGTCTCTTCACAACAATAGAACAGTAACTAAAAGGAATGTCAAGTAGTCATCCCTGAGATCATATTCATGCACATCACATTAGATAGACTAAACCAGTTATATTTATGTATTTAATAATACATGTGTGTACATGCACATGTATCAAATAATAATTAAACGAAGCCATGAATTTGAGAGAGCAAGGAATGTATAGGAGGGGTTGGAGAGAGAAACGAGAAGGAGAAAATAATGTAATCATATTATTATTTAAACACACACATTTGTGGTATATTTATATGATGGGATACTTATTATTCAATTGTTAGGAAAAATGAAATTATGGAATTCACAGGAAAATGAACGCAAAAATTTTTGTAGATGAGCCATGTCTAATATGGCCTAATTGTATCACCAAGTGTAACTTGGTGTGGCTGAATGAGAAACTCTAGATTGACAGAAATCCTGATATCCTAACTCTGTTGGGGGTCTACGTTTTATAGTCCCTGCTGAGAAGCATAGTTCGCCTTGAATCCTTGCTCATTTCTTTGTTTTTTCTACCCTCAGACCAACTGTTGGTTCATGGAGGGACAGTTCTGTCATGGGTCTTGTACAATCAGTGGCATGCCTTTGGTAGGGCCCACCAAGAGCATCCACTTTGCCCAATTCCTGTTCACTCTGTGTGTATGTTCATACATGTAACTTAAATGCACCCATGTTTACCATTAAATGTTATAATTGTCTGTTTATTGCATCATTTCAGACTACTAAAGCAATCTCATGTTTTAAAGTGGTATGTACATTTAAGTCTCCTACAAAAATACTTTATATTTAATCCAACCCTCATTTAAAATATATTAGGATATTCTCTACTATTGTCATTTCTGCTGTTAACCTTCTATTGCAAGCAGCTTTTTCTTCTTTCTGTCTTTTTACGAATGTAAATCTTACCTGTTAAGAGCTAGTACAGTCAAGCTTAGACCCAGCTCTCCAGACAGATTCTAGAGTGTAATTTTGCCTGATAAAACTGCTCAGAGATCTAGGAAATATGGCATTTAGATATTTAATTATTAAGAAACTTTTCATAACAAAAAGAGACAGGTTGGCTCCTAGCAACAGCACTCTATTTTCTCTGAAGAAGACAGAAAACAAATGGGCACATAACAAATTCCATCCGCAATTCACTGCAACTGCCAAGTGCTAACCACTGGGCAAAACTGCATTTCATCTAAACTGAAGATCTCCAGATGTGGACAGGATCGCTGGAATTGACTGGCTAGCTGCTCAGGTCAAGGTAGGCTTGCCTTCCTATAGATTTCTTAGCCCACAGGATCTTCTGGAGCCTGGCAGGCCCTGCACTAAACAGCAAAAGGCAAATACAACCTTCAGTGACCATGGAGGACCCTGAGGATTAGCTCTAGGTGCCAACCAAGTAAGTTCTCTGTTATTTTTTAATTAGTAACTCAAGTAAAATTTTATCCTTCTCAAAGATCTTTGATGCAGTTTGACAGCTGAGAGGTTTTGTCAGTTTAAAAGGACAGCCTCACCAAACAAATTTCAGTAAAATACAAATACATGACCTACAAGTTATAAAGGCGTGAGGACAAATACAAGTTATAAAACTTTTCCCTCATAGTGCCTTCCATAGTCTTAAAAATACTTTTTATTGCACAAAAATATCAGTCATAGTCATTCTGACATAAATATGCTACTGTTTATACAATGTATATGTCTAAAACTTCTGTTTTCACAAACCCAAAGAATTCTTGTGAGTTCCAGGGAACCAAATTAAAGGATCCACCTTAAACAGGTCAGATACATCCCCCTCAATTTCCTGGTCCTAATTTTTTTCCCCTTAATTTAACTTTGTCCTTTGTTCTGCCAATACCTTAAACAGGTGTAAGAGACACCAGACATTTCCATACCACAAACACCAGACAGGAGCAAAGAGACCAACTATGCCAGGATGTGACCAGCACCCAGCCTTCTCAGGTTCCCCCCAAAGATGACGCCCACAAATAAGCAAGAAGAAGGCTTAAGAATCCACTGCCCCAATTCCTTTAACCTGTGATGCCTAACCTCCCGCTTTTTTTATTATAAAAAAGAGATGGGAATGTAATGATTGTTCTGTCTCTTTAAGAGACAAGCTACTCTCACTCCCTCCCCCACCCACTGAGGCAGGCAGGTCTTCCTTCTTGCTTGTGTAGCCTTAGTCTCTCTTTTCCAGCTCCCTCTTAGAGAGGCCGCTTCGGTCTCTCCTCTCTCTCTTCTCTCTCTCTCTCCCTCTTTGTTCTTCTCCCTTTCCCTCTTCCCTTCCATAACTACTAAATAAATATCCAACCTCACTCTGCATGTCATGCCTCCGTCTGTCTCTCGCCCACTGCCACATGGCTCACCTCCGGGGACACCACCAGGGAGCAGCCACCTTTGGGGACTGGCAGCATGGTCTCATGCGCAGACCCTGCCTAGGATTGGCTGCTCTCAGGATCCCCTGCCCACTGCCTGCTGCTGCAGCGGATCCCACAGCAAGCTTGTCAGGGATCTGCAGCAATTTTTAATAATCCATTACAATTAGCCCAGAAGGATTTTGTTTTCCTAAAGAAGGAATGCATCTCATTAGTACCTTCATTTATCGCTATTTTTTTCACTTGATTCCCATAGTTTTATTGCTCATACACTATGTTTAAGTTGATGTTCAACTAGAATATGCCATAGTAGAGATACATGCATTCTAAAATTTAAAATAGCAATTTATTATCTTACTATTATTTAAAACAAAATGCCATGATCTATTTTGGCAAGGCGTTAGTCCTGGGACATGGGCTCTTCCTCTCTCTGCTCTACTTCCCATGGGAAGTAAAAGCTGCTTTTTAGGGAGAAGCCGCTGTCTTATCCTGGTGGCTGGGCCACAAATGCCTGAAAAGCAGTGACACTAATTTCTGACCCATTTTCATTTCAAAAATCTGGCTTTGCATTTTATCTTTTATGTTGTTTCAGCAGAAAAAAAATGGAGTATAGAATGTTTCCATAGGTGTTTTCTATGTCCTTAAACAGTAAGAGCACACATGGTGGAGCTAGTCCCCAACTTGAGTGCAGAGAGGCAGCAGGTGCCCATCTGTGCTGGAGGAGCACACTGCTCCCTCCTCCCCTGCTCATTCCAGCCACAGTGCAAGGAAGCATGGGAAGGGTTGGCCTTTGATTTGCTTTGTGTTGGTTTTGTGTTTGAATTTTGCTCACAAGTGCTGGTTGCTTCATCTGTGACTTTCAGCAGTAAATACAAAGTAGGTATTTTTAAAAGAGGAGTGTTTCAGCCTTTCAGAGAATGTAAAATATGTTAATGGGCCACATTACTCTCTGAAAATGGATTTTATAGAGCTGTCTTGTAGAACTGGATCTTAATAGAAAACTCAGCCTGGGAGAATCACCCATTGAAAGCAACTGCTCAGTTCACAGCACTGTGTCAACAAGAGCTGCTTTAGAAAACACAGCCTGTTTTAGAAAACAAACCCGCTGAAAACAACTGCTCATCCGTAGCACCGTGTCAACAAGAGCTATTTTCATTTCAACTGCAAGGTCATTCTGACAAACCAGCTCTTCTGTTTTCAGTATGTATAAATGCACACACTCATACACACACACACACACAAACACACACACAAACACACACACACTTCCTCTCTTGCTCACATGCAATTTTTCTATCCATTCAGCAATGTTTAACATGGTTAAAAGTTTAATAATCTACATTTTCATCCCTATTCTAATTTTTTCATTACAATATAAAATAACAGTTCTAGGACACAATCCAAACTAACCCCTACCTCCCAGGATGCTCAGTTCTCAATTGGGTTATGAAAAGCAGTTTTTACATACCTCATTTCCGTAATTCTTTTCTCTGACAAAATAGTGCCTGTTGCCCCAGATAGTGAGAGATGGAATAATCCATCTCAGCTGCAAAGGCCAGCGATGTGAGTTAGCTGCTGAGCAGAACGGACTGCACTGGGGCCAGAGCATGTGCGGTCGCTTTCTCTACTTCCTGCTCCGAGATGATGTGCTTTTATCAAATGGAAATGCTTTTGGACAACTAAGCCCCACGTAAGTGCCTTGGTTAGCTTGCATTTCTTGTTATTGTTCTTATTGTTGTTTGCTATTTAGTTTTTTCTGTAAGATCCTTGTGAATATGTAAATTCAAGCAGATACCTGTCTACTAAAGCAATAGTTAGTGATCACAGAAGCAGATTCCATATATTCTGCTTAGGAAAAGGGAATGAAGGAGATTTGGGAATCTTGGTTTTATTGCATGTGCAATTTTTCCATGGAAGAATTAGAGTTGGTTATTGAAAACTGTTGATCAATATAGGAAGTGAGCTTGCAATCATCGTTGGTCAGGATGAATGACAGATGTAATTTTATTATAATTACATAGTACTAACTCTCTATGTGTCTATTTACTCCCTATGTATTCCAGTCCTCTTTTGGGTTTGAGGAAGTAATAAATATTAGAGAGATGCTTGCCTTGATCCTGTGGGAGCAGAAACTGTTTCGCTTTATTCATTAGTGAACTCACACATTTGGGAGTGTGTTGTTCTGTGAGTGCAAGAATGTAACTGCCAAATGAGCAGCTCCTATCTTCCAGGGGAACCAAGTCCATGGCTTTTAAACTCTGCATTAACCCCACAGCAAACAATCACAATGTACAATGCTACAGCAAAAAAAAAAAAAAAAATCAAAACATACAGGCTAAGGCACAATGTGACTTGCTGTACAAACACGATATTTCATACCATTGAAGAAAACAACAAACTCACTGGGGAGTTTTTAATGCCACCCTTGAGATTTTTTGACCCTTAAATATAGACTCAATATCTTCCCAGTATGCTCTGCTCTTCTTGCCTGAATGTCACATTACAAAAAGTCTGTGGCCATCCTGCTTCACAATGCACCAACCTGTGTGACCCCTAGATGGTTTTCTAGGTAGCAACTCTTTCTTTCTTCTGCTTCCACTCAATTGGCTTTGATTTTCTCATGGCCTGAAACCTTGACTTTCATTCTGTCCTGTGTTTTTCCTGCAGGTCCTTTCCCATCCCACAAATAACATCTATATAAGGCAGGCTCCAGGACAAAAAATTTAGGGTGCACTGTATAACATGGGTTTAATGAAGGGGCCAATAGGAGTGTGGAGAATTCCAGCACAACACGGTACCTGCACCAGGACAATGAAGGTACAAGTATAAAGTGATATATGGAGATGACCAAGTATCAGAAGTGTGAAATGCAGAGATGGCCTAGAGGTAAGAGCACTCACACTGTGTGTGCATTGGGCAGGAATTCTGTTCTTGTCACTCATGTTGGATGGCTTACAAACACCTGTAACTCTGGCTCAAGGATCCGAGACTCTCTTTTGGATTCTGTAGGAATCTGTCTGTGTGCACATGTGCATGCATGCATGTGCATGTACACATACAGAGAGAGACAGAGATAGAGAGCGAACAGAGAATTCCCTTGAGGAATGAGCCAGAGACCAGGACTTCACTCTCCTTTGTTCTGGAGCCACAAGTCCCTCCCATAGAATGAATCCAGACCAGTACTAGAAAATAAATGATCCAAATGATGTAATCTACACAGGTCTGCATTGATTTTTTTCAACCAAACTCTAGGCATAGTGCAAGGATGGAGAGAGGAACAGGAGGCCCAAGTCAACAACACCAGCCCAGGCTCCATGGTGAAGTTAACTTTGCCTGGTGATCCCCTTCAGAAATGACTGGAGAGAATATGTTCAGGGAGGATGCCAGAGGAACTTTTACTATGAGTCACTGGTGTGTCATCATTTCTCACCCCTCTGAGCTCTGTTAGGGAAGACACCCACATCCAAGCTCAGCCAAGTCCATTATCTTTTTTAAAACTGAGCCTCTAAAACAAAATTAGTCCATATGAATTTTAAGTCCTTGCTCATATTCATATGAGACTTTGGGTGAAGAACTCGGATTCTTGAGTTGAGAAAGAGGTGGTCTGATGTCTAAGATTTGATGTAATGGCTGTGAGGAGCCTACACTGGAGATGCTGCTTCCCAAGAACAGTCATGAATGACAAACTTTATTGTCCTTTCCATCAAAGAGTTAAAACAAAGGAAAAAGGAAAAAAAAAAACAATTAAAGAAGCTGCTTGGGAGAAATTCTAATTCCTCCAGGGTCATGACTTCTTGAAATCAAATATGTGCTAAAGGTTGCTTACTCTGCTGGGAAAAAAAAACCTGTGTTCTGCTTCTCAACTGCATCATTTAAACCAGCTAATCTTGTAAGGATATGAACTGAAGTTCTGATCAGTCAAAGTGAGGCATGAGACCCCTTTGCATTAGGAATAAAAACCTAGTAGAACCCCCATACATACTTACACACTGCACATACTGGGGTTCTTGCCTGCTTCATTCAACTTGACTATGTACCCTTCTGAAGAAGCAATATTTTTTGCCTTGAAGACAACCTTGAGATTGAGTGTTCATTTGCTTAGACTCTAGAGCCATTTCTTACATTTTCAACCTTTACCACCCATCAGTGCTAGATCAAAGGACCCATTGCAGAAGATTCTATCTACAGAGCCTTTGTGTATTGGCAAATACAGCTATGAAGAATGAGAAAGTTAAATCAAGCAGCACCTGTCTTCCATTTATTGAAACCAATCTTGCACAGTACCTTTATTCAACAATCAGGTATGATTTTAAACATAAGTTACCAATGGCATTAATTCAGTCATTCAGCAGTTCAAATATTTTTCCTTTCAGGTTGTGTGTGTATGTGGGTGTATGTGTGAATGTGTGTGTGTGTGTGTGATGTGCATGTCATAGCACACATGTGGAAGTCAGACGAAGACTTACATGAATCAGTTATTTGTAGAGATAGGAGCAGCGGGGCTGCGTCCCCGGCACCCGGCTGCCCGCATGGCTAGCTTATGCCCGAAATAATTACACGGAAACTGTATTCTTTTAAATACTGCCTGGCTCGTTATCTGTAGTCTCTTATTGGCTAGCTCTTACATATTAATCTAACCCATTTCTAATAATCTGTATAGCCCATGAGGTGGCTTACCAAAGAAGATCTTAACCTGCATCTGTCTGGAGTGGGAGAATCATGGCAACTCCCTGACTCAGCTTCTTTCTCCCAGCATTCTCTTCTGTTTACTCCACCCACCTATGTTCTAACCAATAAAATGGGCCAAGGCAGTTTCTTTATTATAATTAACCAATGTCCTTCCTCCATCAGTTATTTCCTTCTAGAACCATATGAGTTACAGGTATCAAACTGAGTTTTACAAACATGGTAGCAGGTGCCTTTACTCCAGGAGACAACTTGTTGGTCTAACTATTCCACTATTTGCCAAATATATACACATGTTCTAGTTTTTGTCCTCAGCACATGGGAAGTGTGATTCCCTTCTGTATGTCATGAATATCTTTTATTATCATTAGTTAACAAAGAAACTTCTTTGGTCTGTGGCAGGGAAGAATAGAGCTAGGCTGGAAAACTAAATTGAATGCTGGGAGAAAGAAGGCTGAATCAGAGAGATATCATGTATCTGCCAAAGAAGACAGATGCTCACTGAAACCTTACAGGTAAAGCCTTGTGGTAAAATACAAAATAATAGGAATGGACTAATTTAAGATCTAAGAGTTAGTTAATAAGAAGCCTAAGCTATTGGACAAGCAGTGTTGTAATTAATATAGTTTCTTTGTGATTATTTCAGGTCGGGGCATCAGGGAAACAAATGAGCAGCTTCTGCCTACAAATTGACACCCATTATGTGGCTAACTACATCCACATAAAGCCTGAGAGAGTTTAAAATGAAATTCTAGACACACACACACACACACACACACACACACACACATAAAAACAGAGTTTAACACAGCTTCTTGGAAGCTGCACTTTTTTTGGATAGACTCTGTTTTCTGGCAGCAAGTAGAGATGCAGTGGCTCCTTTAAGAAAAGTCTTCCTGACTCAGCATTGTCAACAAAGGCTATGCAGCTTCTTTAGGGAAGGACTTCCTGATTCATGATAGTTGCACAAATAGCTCTGGCTCTTTCAGGATGACAAACACATAATTGGGGTCTGTGAGCAGCATGTTACAAATTGCCTAATGGTGACATAGACCCACTGCAACCCTGGAGTACACTTACGTCTGAGAGGCAGTGAACATGCCTCCACCATGTTGAACTGGGCAGAGCCAATAGGCAGGGCTGTGGAGTTGGTCCTCAGAGAATAATTACAGATACACATGAAATAAAGATAAATTCAGATGAAAAATACCTCTAAATGGGTCACAGTAAATATATGTAGGCTTGAGAGGGAGAAGAAAAGGAGTATAAACAGTAATATAAAAGAGTACAGAAAGTCATAGACTAAAGAAGTAAAGATAATAAAATAAATATAAAACTTGTAAAAAAAAGTAATAGAGTATAAAAACAAGTCACATAAAGATGGAATATATACTGAGAGCCTGGATTATGTATATTACTGAATTTTCTTTGAATTTTTTGACTGTTAATGAGCTAAGTACAGAGAGATATTTAATTATGGGGGCTGCTAAGATAAACCAACATATATATTTTGAAGGCATCTTGACTTCAAAATTTGAGTCTAAGAATATGTTTCCTTAAAGAGGTTCTGCTTTTATTTCCACAGAAGATGAGAACCTGTGTATTCCTTCCAAGCTAATGTGGTTTGATGGAACAAGTCCCCCTGAAAAGTCTCTGCAAACCCTCAAAATACATTGCCCAACAAAAAGCAAGAAGAAGTTTAGAGATAACTACACTGAAATTCCCAAAGATTGTTTATAAATGTTTGTTTTCATTTAAATGAAGATATGATATAGATATGAACATTTTGCATTGGTATGGATCTTGGTCTATTGATACAAATGTAAGGTCAATTCTGTTATATGTATTTCTACACTTGAATAAGGTATTGTGTTTTGAAGCTCATCTAAAAATGTAATATATAGTTAAAAATACAGATTAATAGATAATCACTCACAATAGTCAAACTTGTAGTTAGGTTTTCTAAATATACAGAGACAAATTTCAGTTAGATAGATATTCTTCAAATCTTTCAGAGACCTTCAGAATATATCACTCAAATGTTTTAAGAACTTATAGGACTTTTCATGACAATGAGATACATCTGCTCCTGGTAGCATCAATCTACTTCAAGAGGATGATGGGCATTGAAGAGGCTCATTATGAAGTTGGTTAGCCATTTGGTAAGAAACTGTTCTTGCATGCTCTGCTTGATGGTATGCTTATGAACTGTACATGTAGGAACCACAGAAAAATGACCGTTGATGTTGCCTCAAGAAGATGAGACAGTCCTTCAGGGTTCCTGCTTCATGAAAAAGTCTGCCAGACATTCTGCAGGACACAGAAGTGCTGACAAACTGCCAAAATAGGCAGAACTGTTTTTGAAATTTACTCCTTCGTGGAAAAGTCTGCCAGACACTATGTGCCTATAGGCAGAAGATGGATACCCCAATGCTACAGAAGAATTTGAGTGACTGTTCAGGCAACAAGATGTGTCTGTCAATTCTAGAGTTTTGGAAGTTGCTAAAAATGCACTTCCTATTAACTTAGGTTATAATATTATATCTTTCTGGGGTCTTTGATGGAGTCAAAGAAAAATATTTATAATTATAAAAGATAGATTAGATATAAAACTTTAGACTCAAAAAGCTAAGATAGATAATAGATGGTTTTGCTTAATTTGCCAAATATAAATGGGCTAAATTATAATTCTTGTTTGATAACTGTTTTGTTGTATGTAATCTTGCTATATTAAAGTTAAATTCTTCCTTTTTAATTTAGAGAGAAAGTGGGAGGTGATGTGTAATTTACCTCTGTATGCTGTAAATATATTTTATTATCATTGGTTGATAAAGAAACTGCTCTGGCCTGTGGCAGGGTGTTGAAGGAGCTGCGGGCTTATATTCCTGCCACCCTGCTCCCAGCTGCCTGGCTAGCTTATGCCCCGAAATAACAACACACAAATTGTATTCATTTAAACACTGCCTTGCCCATTTCTATTAATGTGTGTAGCACCGAGGTGCGCTTACCGGGAAGATTCTAGCCTACGTCCATCCTGGGTCAGAGCTTCATCACGTCTGCCCCAGAGAGCAGAGCTAAGGAGTCTGAGCTCACTTCCTCTTCCTCCCAGCATTCTGTTTTGTTTACTCCACCCACCTAAAGGCTGGCCTATCAAATGGGCCAAGGCAGTTTCTTTATTAGCCAATGACCTTCTTCCATCAGCAGGGCAGAATAGGGATAGGCAGGAAAACTAAACTGAATGCTGGAAGAAAGAAGGCAGAGTCAAAGAGATGCCATGTAGTCACCAAAGGAGACAAACACTGGCCAAAACCTTATTGGTAAACCATGAGCCTTGTGGTAAAATACAAATAATAGGAATGGGCTAATTTAACTCTTACATCTTAAGGATTATGATGTAGGAAATCTCAGTTTCAGAACTAGGCTACTGAGTATTCAGTCCATCAAGTATTGTTCTGAGTCACTTGGGGCTTTTGTGACTCCAAGCCCTAACCTGGAAATCACTCAAGAATTCACTGTAAAACTCTGAGACTTTGGGATCTGGACTTGGCGTCATTTAGGGAAATCAGTCAAAGAAATGGTGAGAACATGGAATCCTGATCGCGCAGTTTACTGAATCAGCTGCTGAGCCTCAGATTACTTAGTAGAAGAAATGGGATGGGGGTAGACCTATATTAGGGCTATTATGAAGTTGATGATTTGTGGAATTTAGCTTAATGGAACTCTACTTCATCTATTGTGGACTAGAAAGCTTCTTAACATGATTGTTCAAGTCCAGGGTCAGTCAAATAATGTGAACAGATATTCTTCAAAAAAAAAGACAATATATACATGAAAAATGCGCACTAGGCACCATCATCACAGAAATTCATACCCAAAGTGCAATTAGAATTCTTTGTTGGAATGGTTATGATTAAAATGAAAAGGAATGTGCTGGGGAGATACAGAGAAAATGCAATACGCATTGTTGATGGAATTAATATTTCTCAAAAACTCAGACACAGCTACAGTGGGATCTAGTGATCCCACTGTTCAGTGCATCCACAAAGGAAAGGAAGTGTGTGTGTGTGTGTGTGCGTGCATGTGTGTATGTGTGTGTGTACCTATCTTTTCACAATTATGGCAGTTATTTATAATAGTCAATAAATGGGATCAATCTAAGAATCCACCAGCTAGAGAGCATAAAGAAAATGTGATACATGTGCACAGTAAAGTCCTGTTCAACCATAAATCTTGTGGTTTGTAGTAGAACAGACAAGCCTGCAGAACATTATTTAAGCAAAATAAGTCAGGCACAGGAAGACAATAGCACATATGAGTTCTTGCTCATATGTGGATGCTGAGAACGTTTATCTCATTTAAGTAAACAGTATAATAGTGATTGCAAGAGACATGAAAGTTCACAGGTGACAGAAATGAAAAGCCTGTTTAATGGATACACTGCTACAATTGGGATAGAAAAATAGGCCATACAATTACAATTATTAATGACGTACATTTAATAATCACTATAAAAGAGTTCTAAGTGTTCTTAATACAGAGAAACAAGAAATATTTGAGGTGATTGGTATGCTAATCCTGATGTGATCATTATAGAATATATGCATAGAATTATTGCGTGTCAATTAAAAATAAATGTGTTTTAATAGAAAGACAATTTAGTAGAATAATAGTATTAGGTTTTCCTCTAGGGCCTATAACCAATGTAACCACATATTTCCAGCCCTTTTAATGATGCCAAATATGGATTTCTACTTATGGAGTGGACCTCAGGTCCAATCTGAAAGTGGTTACTTACTCCCATAATGTTCATGTCATTATTGCACCAGTAAGCTCGTCTGATCAGAACAGTCATCATGACCAAAATGGCATATTCAGGGCCTTATTTCTTTATTTTTTATCTTCATCATATCTGTGTCTTGGCCTTGAAATACTGTTCTTAAAATGTCGTCCGTCATTTTAGCTTCATAATCATCATACATTTCCCCTTCTCTTCTTGTGCGTTATGTGCTCTAAAACCCTGAACTCTTCTTTGGATTCCAGAGTCAAGTGCAGGGACATGAAGAAACTTTCTAATGAGTTTATAAATCAATAAACAAAGAGAAACTATAAAAAGAACTCTGAATCAATATGACCCTGGGTGCTGGGACCATAGCTAAACTGGTCCTAGGTCCAATCTCTTAAAGAGTTGTGGGAATGCTTTTTTCAATTTCAGAAGGCTTTAAAAGTTATCATCCAATGATGAACTGATTTGTTGTCAACAGCTAAATAGATAATAACTATACTATACAAACTTCCTGTTCCATCTGAGAGCTACATTCTAAATGACACAAGCTGTATACTTTCAGGAAACTCTGAGTCTTGCAGAGAGTTTTGAATGATGATTTGGGAGGGAGAAAAGGGAGAGAGCTTATTTCAAACTGCAACCATGTTTACGTTAATGCACATGAAATTACGATCCTCTTAAGACTTCACTTATCAGAAAAGTGCAACCTCATTAAGAACACACCTGGTTTTAAATCACAGGTCTTTGAAAGTCAATTTTACAGTTGTCACAAGACTAAATTTATAAAACTTTATGCACTCTCTTGAATCAATTAAGATCTTTCTGTAATGCACACTTCTGTCTTTTAAATGGATTAATGTCCTAGACATGTAGGGCCAAGTTTAAAGAAGCATTATAAACCATAAATAAAGCCCAGGAGATTTCAAACTTGATCCATATTTAATAAATTGACCTTATGATATTCTTAATAACATGATACAAAATTCAAGGCATTGCGTATGTGTGTGCGGGTGTGTGTGTGATGTATGTATGTGTAAACACATGTATAACAGCTTTGCTGGCCCATGGTGGCTGTTGAGGCCAGAGGTTTATGTCATCTGTCTTGTTCAATCACTTCTTCACCTGATTCTTTTGAAACAAGGTGTCTCACTGAGCCTGAAGCTCCCTGATTCTTCTAGTCTGGCTGGTACATAGGCCTCTCTGGATTCTCTTTGCTCCCCTCTAGATTCCATAGCCACCATTTACATGGGTACTGTGAAGCTGAACACTGATCATCATACTTGTTCAGTGTGATGGTTGTCAACTTCTTTGCATCTGAAATTAACTAAATCCCCAAATAGAGGGATTTTTTTTCTTAATTTGAAGTTGGAAGACATACTTCTAATCCAGATCTTTTGAACTTGGAAAAGACATGTTTTTGATATGAATCTTGAGGCAGAAAAGCACACCTTTAATCCAGATCATTTGAGCTGTGTAAACACTGTTAATCTGGGCTACACCTTCTGCTGGAAGCCCATGTAAGGATATGGAAGAAGGAAGTTTGTTTCTCATTGCCTACATGTTTTCACCTTGCTAGAAAGTCCACCCTTTCACTGGCATTAGAGCCTACATCTTCAGAATTCCAGCATATACCTTGACACCCAGCCTTGTAGACTGAGTAACTACTGGATTCTTGGACTATCCATTCACAACCAGATCTTTTGGATTGTCTGGACTGCAGCCTGTAAGTTTTTTAAATAAATCCCCCATACACATACATTCATACATACATACATAGACTCACATATTGTACATATATATATGCTACATTCTATAATTTCTGTTTCTCTATAGAATCCTGACGATTACACACAGCAAGCACGTTACTAACTGATGCAGCTTTGTTGGCCAAGACTTTTTATTCTTTTCTTTTATTTCTTCATTCTATGCACAAATTTTTATCCAACCTTCCAAATTCTGGCAACTAAAAGCGCAGATGCTAGAATAAGAAGACATGGGTTGTGGTTTTGGTTCTACCATTGTTGACAGTCTGGCTTCCTGAAAAATGAGAATTCCAATGTTCCTGTCACGGAATTGGTGGGAGAGCTCTGATATGTGTGTGTTTCTTTGGAATTTTCACTCACAGCTCTAGCGTAACATGGATTTAGTGAAGACACTCATTTCATGAACAGCAAGCAGAAATGTAAGATTGCAAATTCAGATTTGCAAATGGTCTAGTTTCTTCGTTCAAATTTTCTTCTTGCTGTGACAGAAATAGTTAAAGAAACTATGATTTTTAAAGCAATAATGAATTTGACAACATTTAGCTCCTTTGCCCATCTTAGAATTACTTCTCTGGTCATTTTTAAGGTCTGTTTGCGTCTCAAACCCAGACAAGTAGCAGGTATCTGACTTTTATGTTAAACATCCTCTTTATTTGGCAGTTTTTACAAAATCTCCATATACAATCACAGCTAAACAAGAAGAAGAATCATTGCCACTGTGGCCACGGGGATGTTCCTAACATGCAGAGCGGCCTTGGACCTGTGCGGAGCCAGCTTCCCTGAGAAGAGCACAGTGCCCCCTGAGCCAGTCCTGGTACAATGAGGCTCCACGGGACTGCGGGAGGCCAGCAGGGCGGCTGTCTATGCGTCTACAGCTCTCTATGCTGTACAAATGCATAGGTCAAAGATCATCCGGGGGAGGTTCACCCTCTTCAGGCAATTCCGTGTTATCTTTAGAGGTAAAGGTGCTAATC